TCTCATCTTTTTAAGTGGGAGAACTTGCACAATTGGTGGCTGACTAAATACTTTTTTGCCCCACTATACATACACACACAAACACTTACTTATAGGCATACTTCTCAGGCAATATTTAATTTAAACATACCTACCTTTAAATATGTTTAAATTAGATTTTAAATTAGATATGGCCTGAGAAGGATTTTTCATCTCGCTATCAGGGATATCGACTTTTTTTCTTCCGGAAAAGTATGATAGTTCAATTTTACCATTGTATTGCTTTCTCGGTAAGTAACTGTGAATTGCTGATTTTCTCCTATTGTATGGTTTTTTAACAGTGATAAATTAAATGCCTTAAGGAGGCACAAAGAAAAACTGGAAGAGAAAATAATGGATCAATACAAGTTTTATGATCCAGCTCCAAAAAAGTAAGTTGTATATATGAAAACATGTCTTATTAATTATCACATCCAAATCAATTCATAAGATACAAGCTGTATTTCAGTCATCATACTTTGACTTAATAAGCTGAGATAAATAAACTTTCCATGTGCTCCTGGCTCTTCCCTTTGTGTAAGTGAGAAAATGAGGAAGCCTTCAGTTAGCTCTAGGTTTCTGTTTATTCCAAATCAAGAACCAGATTATAGATTGTAGACAATACATGAAATCATTTCTGTAAATTATACATCAAATTAAGATATGATTTCTAAAACCCAAATTTTGAATGTGGCAGAATTCCCTGTATAAGAATGGTTTCCAGTTAGAATCAAATTCTATGTTGGATTTACTTTATAAATACAAGATTAATCTAGACATTGAGGCATACTCATTCAATTTAGTTAGCCATTCTTCTGAAGAGGGCATTAAAGATATTTTCTAGTTAAAAGACATATAAAATCCTTGCAACCATTAACATATTCAATGCTAATTCGGTATATCTTGAAGGGATATCTGGTTTAGTGGAATTTAGGAAGAATCTCAGGTTGCAGGGGGATTGCAACTTTCAAAATTTGTTCCATCCTATAATGAATCATTTTCCAGTATTGTTGGCTTTACAACCTTGCCACTACACACACACACAAACACACAAAAAGATCCAACCTGCTTGTTACAGTGGAAATTTCAGTGGAAGAAAAATATTAAATTTACTTCAAACATTCACTAAAATCAGAAGTCACCCAACGCGATGGAATCCTGGAAGAATCAGGATGAGGAAAAGGAAAAAATAAATATACAATGTGTAATTAAACTTTGGGATTCGCTACCACAAAATGTGGTGCTGCCTACCAGCTTGACTGGCTTCAAAAAGGGGTTGGACCAATTCACAGAAGATATGGGAATCAATGGCTGTTGGTCTTGATGGCAGCGTGACTGTCTCTGAAGGCCATCTGCTGAGAGGCTAGTGGGCTTCCTTGTGCAGTTGGTTGGCCACTCTGAGAACAGACGGCTGGACTAGATGGGCCAGGGGTCCAATCCAGCAGGGCACTGCTTACAGTATGTTTGTACTATGCTCAGAATTGGTAAAATATTTTTGTTAATTTTAAGTAGATTGGGTCATAAGAAACTTCTAGTTTTCTACCAAAAAGATTTTAAATAGATCTTTTATATGGTGACCTCATTCATTTTATGACCCCATTAACAATCAAAAAGGGCCTTTATAAGCAACAGAATTTAGAAATACTACATCTTTATCACTTCTATTAGGTCATAAATCTTTGAATCTGATTATTGACTTCCTTGCTCTATAGATTGAGAAAATTGAGTGAAGTATTGCGTTGTTTAAAATGTAAGAGAAAAAGATATTGCTGCTTGCTGTATTGTTAAAAATTTCCAATAACAGGAAAAACCACTGGATAGGAGCTAGAGCCTTGGTTAAATTCATGAAGCCAAAGAAAGAGTCAACAAGAGAACGATTGAAATCTTCAGCAGACAGCCCTCTGTGTCAGTTGGAAAGCATGGAGACAACAGGTTCACCGTCTCCATCACAGCTGCCCAAGCAGAAGAGTCTGGAAAACACCTCCATAGATTCCAGCTCCATGGAAGACAAAGAGCATAAGAATGGACCCATGGTCAAAGGTAGGTGTTGCGTTTCATTGGAGAGGGAGTTAGCTCTGTAGCACCATCTTGAATTAGCTTTGCTGACAAGGTTTATTAATTAAGAAAATGTTGGGTTTGTAATCTAGCTACAATTAATAATCCCTTCTATCTGGCGCTGAAATTATGGGAAATCAGTAAAAATTAAATGCATACATTTTAAACAAAGCAGGTAAAATATGTTTTCTTGGACATTTTAACAAAATGTGATTAGGAACCTAGGTGAAAGAGTCTGGAGAAAAGAAGTCCAGTTGCCATGACTTGACCTCCAGACAATTCCACCTGGATGACTGAGAATCTTCATAAACATATCTAGGTGAAAGAGCTAGCCAAATAGTCCACCTTATGAGGTAAGGTTATATAGAGAGAATACATTGTGTCTATAGGCTTTAAGGTATTTTCCCTTTCCCTTCATCCATTCAGTAAATATGGACTTTTAGGGTAGTATTGTTGACACCAATTTGTTCCTGTGCAAATCGAAAGCATCTATTGGCATGGTGTTCCTTGTCAAGCTTCAGGACCAAGTGTGCCACTCTGGAATTAATTCTGAAAATTAAGCAAGTGCTTCTTTTACAAGGACAAAGACGTTTGTTTCTTTTTTTGCAGTGCAGACTTATTTTTTTATAGTTAAGTACAAAATGCATCACAGTTCTCAGCAACAAACAAGGCTTTTTCTATGGTGATTGTTGCTCTTCTGAGCCTTCAATTTTCTGAAGATTCATTTTTATTATGACATCATAGATTTACCAAGTTGTTTTTGTTGCCATTTTGTTGTTTTCTGTATTCTTTTGGTGTCCTTTTAAGATTGTATTGCTGTTCTTAGACTTGTATAATAATTTTCTTTTTATTATAACAGTCATGTGGAGCTCTTATAACTTAACTGTGGCTGAACTATTGTACTATTGTTATATGCCACAATATACATGCTAATTCTACGTGTTTATCAAGCGTTAGTTGGTTTCAGCTACATACTGTGATTTTTAGGTGCATTCTACTTAATAAGCTCTGTCTCTAATTGCATTGAGGGGTATTTTTCACTTTATAGGACATTTCCACAAACCCAAAAAGTTCCCCAAAGTTTATTTGTAGACCTGTATAATTTCTCTGCATTGAAAGTGTAATCTGATTTGGTGACAGCAGAGGGAGCAAATAGATAAATGTTGTTTATCTCTATGTGCCTGTGGATGGCTGGCTTGTCTGAATACCAAGCTTCCAGGAATTCCCTTGCATTTTTGGATTTAGCTTGGTCTAAGATGCTGAGTTTCCCAGTTGAAACTATGGTTGAGTCTGTCCATGTGTTGTGAGATTAAGGAGTTTTCATTGTGTCTTTTGACTGTTAGCTGGTGTTCATGGATGCGCTCTGCTAATCTTCTGCCTGTCCTACATAGTGGCTGTAACATCAATACCCAGATAAGCAAGGATTAACTATTCCCATGCACTTTACATGGGGCTGCCCTTGAAGAGTATTTGGAAGCTTTAACTGGTACAAAATGTGGTGGCACAGGCAATTTGCAAGTTACCAATCTGGCAGGAAGGGCATGCTCCGGGTATCATCAGCTGGGGTTGTTGGCTGGTGGGGCCCAGAGGGAGAGCCTTTTCTGTCATGGCACCCACCCTTTGGAATATCATTCTCCCTGAGCTTAGCTTGGCCCTGTCCTTGTTGGCCTTTCATAAGGCCTTGAAAACTTGGTTTTGTGTTCAAGCCTGGGGCCTTGTCCATGGGTTAGAGCTTATCTCCTGGTTGCATGGATGATAGGTTAGATCATGCCCAGCTGCTGTGTGTTTTTATTTGTGTTTTATGTTATATATTTTATGTTTTTATTTGTTTTATTGTAAGCTGCTAGAGTTTTAAAACTGAGATGGGCAGCTATATAAATTGAGTAAATAAATAAATATGCATGAAAGTGTTTGTAACATGTACGAAATTATAATGTATGTTTAATTATAAATACTAGAGCAGCCTTTCTGAACATTTTTACCCTGGAGGAATCCTTGGAATAATTTTCAGGGCTCAGGGACCCTCTGCATGAAAATTGTTGTATCTACAGCTAGCATTGCACAGTGTAGATACAATAATGTACAAATGATGTGTGTTTTTTTCCAGTCACAATCTCTCATGGAACCCCAGCTGAAAAAGGCTGTGCTAGAGGCAGCTGCTGTAGATAGATCTTATCTAACTGATGTCAACCTTACCTGGTTTAGAAATTGCTGTAGAAATGCTTAGTCCTTTTTCATGTTAACAGATTTCTTGGATGTTTGAAATTACATTTTAGTTATTTCTGTTACTTTTTTTCTCTTTTCTGGGGTCTCTGGGTGATAACGTTTAGCAGCGCAACGTAAAAAGATTGCCTTTTTGAGAACCACAAGCAAGACCAAAGAAAAGTCTCCTAAGTCTCCATCGAATAATTCATCTCTCTCTAATCGCCTTTGGTTCTGGTCATCTTCTGACATCCCATCCTCTCCTAATGAACCATTTTCTTTCTCAGAAGCAAAAGATTTCTAACCTCTTCTCTTATCATTTATTTCCAATGCATTTCCAGTGTTTTATTTTTAAATAAAACTATAGCCCCTCTATACACAATCATAGATGCTCAGCATATAACTGAGGCAGAATAAATCCAAGACCAAATCAAGTCAACACGGACAACATTTTCCCATCAGTAAAATGAAGGACCTTATTGCACAATGTGGAACATTTCTTCAGAGCCGTACACTTTAATGAGGCATGAGATACTATGCCCATACTTTTGCAAGTACTATTGGTGATGGTGCACATACTGAGTAAGTGAACTTGTTGTGTACTACACTAATGCTTTGCAGATTTGCCGTGTGCCTCATGTTCTGTCCAGATGTTGAAATAGACTCCTGTTGCTGTGTCACTGGCAATGCATCCTTCTTATAATATTCCATTCTGCATTAAAAATAACTCTCCTAACACCTTTTGCAATATCTCCTATATCCATTGTGCTGCTTGTCTGTTGTCTAATATAATTGCAGTGTAAATATGAAAATGCAAAGACACCTACCATTGATAGATAGCTTAATAATAATATGTGTCTTGCTTTTTTAAAATGCTAAGCCAGCAGTATCTTCAAAATAGCCATTAAAGTTGATTTCTGTTGTGTGATGAGCAAACACCAGTGCAGTTTGATAAACAGCCACAGTTTGCAGCTGTGCTTAGCCAGCTAACACTAATATTCAGCAGATGCTCATCTACATGAAACTACATGAAATTTATTTGTCCTCTGCTGCTTCAGCTGTGGCATGCTTTATTACGTCTAGCATGCTACTTCAATAGCATGGAATAATTTGTGCCTATTCGTTTCCTCTTTCTGCTGTTTTAGTTGGCTTAAAAACTTCATGCTCTTAAAACCAGTTTTTCAAGGAGTGATTTCAAGAGCTTCTAAAATGCGGGAGAAATTTTTTATATATAT